GTTTCGTTCTGCTGTGCATGGGGTCGCTATGAGTCGGAAACGACTCGACGGCACTTAACAACAACAACAACAACAAGGGAAAGCTAGTCACAAAAAAACACATATTGTCTGATTCCATTTTTATAAACCCAGAGTAGGTAAATCTATTAGGACTGGCAGTGGGTGAGGAGGGATTGATAGCTAAGGGGTGGAGGGTTTCTTTTAAGGCGGATATAAATGTTCTAAAATTACATTGTGATGATGGTTGCACAACCCCACGAATATAATAAAAATCTTGAATTGTGTACTCCAAATGGCATGAATTTATGAATACAATTTATGAATTGCATGGTATGTGAATTATACCTCAATAGAGCTGTTAAAAAAAAAAAAAATCTAACTCACTAATTGATTTCAAACCAAATAACCAAACCCACTGCCATCAAGTGAATTCCAACTCATAGTGACTCCAATCAGGTTTCCAAGGCTGCCAATCTTTACAGAAATAGATTGCCTCATCTTCTTCCCATAGAGTAGCTGATAGGTTTGAACTGCCTACCTTTTGCTTAGCAGCCCAATGCCTTTACCAGAGCGCCATCACAGCGCCTTACTAATTGATTTAGTGGATCCTTTATTCTTCGCTGCCTGGAGCAATATCCTCTCCATTAAAACTAAAAATAAGTGTTCAGAGTGCTGTTTTGTGTTCAAAGTTATAAAATACCTTGACTTTGGAATTCATTACCAGTCATCTTACTATGAACTCCACATTTATTATTGTCCTGCAGCAAGGATGGTTCAGTCCCTTACTTAGAACAAACTAACCACTTTTGCAAGCAATCTTATCTTTATTATTTGCTACACTGACCTTCAAAAACTGAAGCTCCACAAGTGCAGTGACAATGACAAGAAAATAAATTGTAACACCCAAAGAGTCTAAGCTACCAGACTGGGGAAATCCAACAGCTAGGGACCCAGTGATAAGTAGCATGATTCACTGGAATGGGGAATGTTAATGGAATGAACTAGAGAAAAGAGATGACTTAGATCTTGATAAAGAGATAAAAGAGGTAAGCCTGAGTATGGGCCAAGTAAAAGGTGTACTAGAATATTTTTTACCAGTTGCAAAGTACACTTATATTTCAGGTTTTTTGCAAGGTTTTGTTTTTAAGTTTATTTGAATTTATATTTGATCAATGTGCCAGTGAATGGGGAGGAAAAAGAAAAAGGCGCTGCAGTTCCCACTCCTCAAATCCTAAAATCTGAACAGGAGAAATTATGTAAACATATTCACAGGAAGAGACAGCATAACAACAACTAAAAATATATGCTATCAATTCAACACCACAGAATACTTAAAACGGCTCATTGGTTATGGAGAGGAAGACAGTATGCGGACTTTAGCTCTAGAAAGCAGGCAATGCCTCCCCACCTCATGCCTCGAACAGAGTTCTCACATACAAATCCATTCTTACTTGAGAGGTTTTCTCTTGATATTTATGTTGCTGCCAAAATGTAATCTATATTTTTTCTGAGTTGTTTCAATGTTTTGAGTGAACAAAGTAAAAATACAGAGTAACATTAATCTTGTATTTTACTTAAACCTCATCTGCAGAAACTCTCAGCACTCCAAAATACATATAAATTGCTAGATTAACACGTAATTATAAAACACCAAAATAAATAAATTATATCAAAAAACGACCACAGCACATCATAAGCAATCTTGGTTAAAAAGGAAAAAAAAAAAAAAAAAAAACCTCCCAGTGCAATCTGATCTTTGTCCTCCATTTCTGACACCCTCCTACCAGACAGAACAAGATCCACATGCTTGCCTAACTCTTTGTGGGAAAACATTTTTTTTTTTTTTTTACAAATATACTTTCTGTAAAAACTACTTCTAACTTTAACATAGTTACCGTTTTTGCTGAAGCCAATAGTTCTTACTACTATCATTACGACTCCAAAACAGTTTTGCGAGGGTTTTTGAAAGGGGGTTTTGTAAATTACATAAACTAACCGAATCCAAAGGAGTTCTGGTGGCGTAGCGCCTAAGCCTTTTGACTGACTGCTACTCGGAAAGTTGGTGGTTCAAACCCACCAACCAATCCGCGGAAGAAAGATTTATTCTTCCATAAAGATTTACCTCCTCGGAAACCCAGTGAGGGTCGCTATGAGTCGGAATCGACTCAATGGCAATAAGGTGGGGTGGTTTTCTTTTCTTTTTTTTTTTTTTTGAGGCCGAATCCAAGTAACTGGACTGAGAAAGTTCCAAAGAGCAAAAAGACTTCTGAAATTTCGTGTCCCTACACCTCTTCCCCTATCCTCATATCCAAAAACAGAATACGTTTTTCATTCTTAGCAGGGGCCAATATAAAAGGCAAGCGAAAACTTTATTTTGAAAATGCTACCAAGGAACGAACCAATGTGGGTAGAATGTGACTGAGGACGAAACAAAGTAACTGACCTCAAGCCAGGAGCCCGGCAGGTCTTAAGGTGCTCAAGTCCCAGGGAGTTAAGGCCGTATTTCCCCCCACGCACAAAATGGCAGTTAAGATTCCAAGTTTAGCCTGCAATATTTTGGCTCCCGAAGGTTTGGCAATCTATTTCCGTAGTGATACCGCCTCGGACAAGGAGGGGTCGCTATGAGTCCGATCTGACTCCACGGCAGTGAGTTTGGCTTGGTTTGGTTTTAAAGATACAACCTCTACAAATTTAAGCAAGCCAGAGATGTCTAAGGAAAACGGGACGCAGAGCTTGAGGAAGGATAGAGGAGCTGAGGAGCGCAGGCTCTGCGCACGGCCCGGAGCTGCTCAGAGCGGGCCACGCTGGCCCTAGAGCCCCACGAGCGGCAGTAGGAGGAACAAGGCGGCGCAGGATCAGACTCACCTGCCCATTCACCGAGCCCTGGTCCGACACCAGTCTCGTTACCTAACCCCCAGACCCGAAAGGCCGTGAAGAGAGAGTACGAGATGCGCAGGGCTAGGTAGGCCACGGTGCCCGCGCCCACCCAGTACAGGAAACCGGCGGCAGGGACAACGCTCTCCATGATTTACGACTAGGCCTCACTACCTTCGTGAATGAAAAAAAAAAAATGAATGAAACCAGGAGCGGCGCCGGCGGTGATGGTGAGGACGACACTAATAAGCGCTGCTCCCACACTGCTTTTGCCCCAAACTCCGCCCACAGGCCCTATCCGTGCCGCCATTGGTGACCTACCCTTCCCTCTGCCGGTGACGTGTCAGCCATTGGCTGACGCCTGAAAAGAACCCGAGCCTACCCCCGCTTGTTTCCCCGCCCTACGTCAGCCCCCCTCCCGCGCTCACTGCTTTGACTAGTTACTGCTCTGAGGTAGCAGATTGCTCACCTGCCAATCAAACTTCAGTCCCGCCCAACAGCGTCTTCACCCACCCGCAAAATTCGGCCAGTCACTGATGCATCTCACCCTACCAAATCGCGCAGGTCTCTCATTGGCTGTAGTAATCCTCGCGACTGCGGAAACCTGCGTTCCCATTGGCCAGTCAGACCCAAGCTTGTTTAAGCCGGGTTTGAAGAGGGAAGGCGATTGGAGAAGCCGCTATTGAATGGGAAGATCGTAGTAAGTGAGCGTGGAGCCTTTCCGGCATGGTTTTATTTTCACCTTGTGATTAAATACTTCCTTGTCATTTTTCAATGTGCCGCTATTGTCCGCATGAACTTTTCAGGACAAAAGGTTGCAGTCTCCTGTCTGCCCCACAGCACACAATCGTACCAATATCCTCATTTACTGAGAGACTTTTAAATGCCAGGCCACCCTCCAAGTGCTGAACATTAAACAACCCTGCGTTTTGGAGTTCACCTCAAAAAACTTGATGGAGTCAAATAACTATAATACATAATGAAATAAGAACTGTAACATGAATGAAAATATATGATAGGAACACAGCTTGCTGAGCAATTACTTCTGGGAAAGGAGTCGCGTTTTATCTGGGCCTGAAAGGTGATAGGGTTTTAACTTATCTATTTCCCTTTTTTTATGGGGAGAGGAGAGTGGAGTTTCAAAAGGGCGCAAGAGTGTGCAGTCCATCTAAGTAGAGGCATGGGAACTACCTCAGAGAAGTTCCAAAGTGGTAGTACCACAAAGTTACCAAATTATGTAGCACTCTGTGATCCTCAAATCATTTGTTCTTCCTTCTCTGGCATGGATTGAGGCTTACATAAGGTACCTGCAAAAAGGACTTTGAGGTGATGTCTTTTGACCTCCTCTCACTTCACAAGAGGGAGACAGAATCACCATTAACAGCCCAAGGCTTATTCCTATGAGGCAAGAAATGCCACCACCACTCCCAGCCTCTTTACCAATACTGACACCAACCATCCCTCCCACAGCCCTCACTCCTCTACTGGGTTCATTAATTCGTTCCAATGGCCACATAAAACTCACAGACATTACTCAAGATTATAGGGTTTATTAGGGAATTTACAGGTTACAATTCAGTTCAGGAACACCCAGGATACAATTCTAGGATCAGGACGTCTCTCCTCTGCTATTCCCTCAGGCACGCCTCTCTGGCCCTTGGCCTCTCCGCCTGGACTTTGCCCTGCTTGGACAAGTGTTACAAGATCTTTTAGCTCTGCCATTAGGAACACCTAGATGTACTCTACTCCGATAGCAAGCCTCCTGCCCAAAGGTCCTTGGCTTTCTCACTCGTGGGCCAGCAAGCCTGCCTCTTGGTTCTGCTGCTGCCATCTCTCAGCCAGTTGTCTCAGCCACTAGTCTCTGCCAAGGGGGACCAGCACTGGGATCTCGGGTCCAAGGAGGTGCTTCACTCCACCTCCAACTCTTCTTTCTTAATGGCAGTGAGGTTCCCCCTTCTGCCTCTAGAAGGGATCATTTTAAGCCTCGCAGAATTACAAAACTAACCAATCCCCACATTAGGGTTCCATACACCTTGTTTGCATGGTCTCACCCCCACAAGAGTGCCATGTACTTTATTTACGTTACTCACAACCTATCTAATCCCTTTGGTAGGCCACCAGCATTTTACATTTGCATAGTTCCACCCAGTCATCGAGTGGCAGTCACAGAGACCAGGACTAGAAGAGCAATACCAAGTATTTCACTGCACCATAATACCTAGAGCTCTGGTAGCATAGTGCCTAAGGCACTTGACTGCTAACCAGAAGGCTGGTGGGTTTGAACCACCAGCCTCTCCTCAAAAGGAAGATGGGGCAATCTACTTCTGTAGGGATACTGCCTTGGCAACCCAAGGAGGGCTTGGGTCTGACTTGACATGACAGCACATAACAACAACATAGTACCTAAAACTTAACTTTACCCAATAGGGTTTGCTGACTTAAGACTTGAGAGTTGTTTTAAAGGAAGGAATTTAAGGGTAATAATTCTAAGAGTCAACAATTCAACAAGCTTAAAGCTAAAGTCATAATTATATGATGCACCTACTCCTCACTTATAAACTATCTCATTATCCCACATTTTGCATTTACAACTGTTGTGGTTGCCTAGTGCCACTCTGATAGGAATATACCACAAATTGGACAGCCTTAACAAACATAAATTTATTCTTAAAATTTGGAGGCTTTAAGTCCAAGTTCAAAGTGCCAGGCTTTAGGGGCTGGGTGAAAGCCCCTCAGCCTTGAGCTTCAGTTCTGCCTCCTGCTCCCAGCCCACTGGAGCTTTTCTTCACTTAGACAGCTGCTGGCTGCTGAGGCTGACAAACCCAAGGTTGACAAATAAAAAGGCACAGTCCCAACGTCACCAAACCACACAGCAGGCCATTAATTCCAGTCCATTGAAAATCCCAAGGTCAGCAGAGCATGGCAGGCTGCTGAACAATGACACGGCAACATGCGGGGTTCAAGTGTGCCATAAGCTGGAGACCCTTCCCAAAACTGTTTCTTATATACAGGAAGCAGACAACATACCCAAAGCAGCTACTCAGCTGCTCCAATAGATTCCACCATGGAGTTAATTACCAATCTCACCATGAGGACTAACTCTGTTCAGCTGCCCAGCCACTCAACCAGGCCTAGCCAAGTTGACACACAAATGTAACCAACACCACAACAATAGCGCAAAATGTACTATCTATTTTATGCATTAAGAATATATGTCTGGAATGAATACTGAGGTACAAGGTGAGCATCACACTGGCTATGTTGGTTAAGGTTATGTGTCAACTTGGTTGGGCCATGGTTCTCAGTGGTTTGGCAGTTATGTAGTGATACAATTTGCCAGTTATATAATGATATAGTCATCCTCCATTTTGATCTGATGTGCTCATACTCCATTTTCACATGATGCCAATTTTCACCTAATGACCTGGTCTTAAAACCTAACCATGTTGATAAATGAGGAGTGGGTATATTTAGTTTAAAAACCTTATTGCTCTCTGCCCAACCCCCACTCTTTCTCCATTCTCTTATCAGATTAATTAGGCAAAACTCTAAGGCTGGTCTTCAAAAACTGTCATTATTTTACTCTCATCTTCCCAAAGCTCAATCTTTCATCTTATATGGGTTTTTGTTCACACATCATCTTCAGAAAGGTTTGGTCTGACCTTCCTATATAAATATACCAGATATGACTCATATGCTGTGGAGAGTCCTCACACTGCTCCCCCCAGCAAGGTTTGTGATCGTTTTTTTTCTTTTTTTCATACTCATGGTGGTTTCTTAGGGAAGTAACAGACTCCATCTTGAGATAAGGACCAACTCAGAATTAACAGGTTATAACTCAGAATACAGGAAACAGTTAATCAATCAGGGAAGATTCCAACCAAGACAGCTCTCAGCTCCTTCTTGGCCATGCTAGCTGGCAGGCCATGCTCAGGCCTCTGTCATCAGTCCCCACTGGGGCCTGACTCTGCCATTGGCCTCACTCAGAGTTCAACAAGACAGAAAATAATAAATGCTGGTGAGGATGTGGAGAGACTAGGACTCTCATAACACTGCTGATGTGTATGTAAAATGATACAACCACTGTGGAAAACAGTATGGCGATTCCTTAAAAAGCAGGAATTAGAAATACCATTTGACCTAGGAATTCCATTACTAGGTATATTTCCTAAAGAAGTAAGAGCCAGGACAAGAACAGATATATGCAAATCAATGTTAATCGCAGCACTATTTATAATAGCAGAAAGGGAAACAACCTATGTTCCCATCAACAGAAGAATGGATAACCAAACTATGGTACATGCACACAATGGAATACTATGTAACACTAAAGAATAATGTTGAATCGCAAAACACCGCATAACATGGATGAACTTGGAGGACTTTATGCTGAGTGAAATAAATCAATCACAGAAGGACAAAAATGGTGTTAGTTCGTTATTGTAAAAAGTCAAGGAAAGGTTTATATATGGAAGGAAACTTTCCTTGTTGGTTAGCAGGAGTGGGAGGGGAGGGAACACTGCAAAAAAAAAAAAAATGCATTGACCCATGTCACTTTAGTTTGGTGTGTTTCATTTACATATATTTATTTCAATAAAATGTATTTTTTTTAAAAAAAGGGACCAGGTTTGCTTGTCCGATGGAGCCTAGTGGAATCACTGAGACTATAGATCCTATCTGCCCTTCAGGTCTGGAATTGAACCCACTCCTGTGGCTTCCAGCCAAACAAAAGACAGGCATACGAGCTGAACATTTACATTGGAGAGACCAATCATGGGCGAACAGAAGGGCTGTGTATGCACAGGGAGACAGCTTGGGGAGCAGGAGTACATGGGAAGGAAGGACACAGGGAAGAGGTAACTAGGGGGAGGAAGTGGGAAGTGGGAGGGGAGGTGTTGCATTGTGGGAAACTAGTCAATGTGATGAGACAAAGTGTATGTGAGCTGCTGTATGGAAAATGAATTTGCTCTGTAAACTTTCACCCAAATCACAATAAAAATTTTAAGAAATTAAAAGAAAAAAAAAAACAGGATTCTTTCTGCTCTATCACCTACTTTATAACAAAACTTAGGCTCGTACTTCATGGGCACTTCTATAAACCTATTTCTTTTGTAAAAGTGAAATCAGCCAATTTGAAACAAATGATTAGAAAATATTTTAAATACTTAGTTTTTAGTTTCAAAAGCTTACAGAATTACATAAAATGAAAAAAAAAATCTCACAGGACTTAAAACTGGTGCAAAATAGTACTGTAATTTCTATGGTAAACAAGGGGTACACACATTGCATAGCAACCAAACCTGTTAAAAAAAATTAGTGATTTGTTTTTCCATATCCTTAAAGAATGTTGATGGAACCTGGA